AAGACTGACATCTTTACCATCTGGCAAATTTCTTGAAACTGATTCAAGAAAAGAAAATTTAACAAGGTGATATAAATTTCAGTTGGGATTATTAGAAAACTTTTGGAAAAGGGTACACTTACTTGAAATTCGAAACATAAAGCAAATTCAGAGAGGTAATGCCGTTATAGATCTTTTGAAGGGATCTGTAGTTCTACTACATGAAGAAAACTACCAAGATTATTATAGAAGATGGGAGTTGTACAGGAGTGTCATCCAGGACAAGATGAAAAGATAAGGGCTTGCACTATCTGTTTAGCTAATGGAAATTGTCTTCGTCGTCCTGTGCATTTATTGTACCCCTTAGAAATGCTTTGAATTGAACACAGTGAATTTAAATTGCGAACACTGAGTGAGTGAACATTTAAATTTTTATTAAAGAAAATTAAAAACATTTAATGTTTAAGATAACTTCAGAATCCAATCCTTTGATAAACCAAGAGTTCATCGAGGGGAGAGAATGTTACAGTTTCATGCTGCAGGCCACGAGAGGGTGCAGCTTTTTTATTTTATGTTTATTATTTTTTCTTACAGCTATAAAGTTTTCCGTGTGTGATAAAATGGCAACAAATCTAAGCATCCTGTGGACTTCTTCAAGAAAAGGTAAGCAGAAAGATATTCTTATGAAATATTGCTAATTGTTGAAGGTAAGAATAAGAAAATGCAAATTAGAAACAAAGCAATGTTTCAAAAACCTGTATACTCAAATACTGAAGTATTACATCAAGGAATAAAAAAAAAAAGTCATTTTCACTTATCTATATGTGTTATATAGTTTTGAGAAAACAAAAAATGTCAGTTTTAACTAAACCACCCTCATATTAAGTAAAAGGAAGAAAACACCCCTGCAATTTGAAAACTTCATATTAACAGCTTGATGCAGAAACGGTTTACAAAACATAAAAAAAAAAAGATTTAAAAATACAAAAAAAAAAAAAAAAAAAAAAAAAAAAAAAAAAAAAAAAAAAAAAAAAATAAAAATAAAAATAAAAGTGTGAAATGAACAAAACAAAATTTCTTATCTTCTTGTTTAAATATAATATACACTGCTGTCAAATGAAACTAAACCTTTACTATTAATAAAATTAAAAATAAACTCAAAATGAATTTCAATTTCAATTTCAAAAGTTCTGCTTATTTTCAATAGTTTTTTAAATGTAAAATGGAATAAACAGAACAAAAATCAGAATATTAAAAAAGTATATTACCAATTGAGCAAATTAAAACATAGAACTACATATAGGTGCTAGCAATCTTTATATTCCTATAAAATTTCATCATAATCATTAAATTTTATTTTGCATGCATATGACAGTGTGTCTAAGAACAGTCCTTCAATTACAATTCATCAATTAAAGTGTATTAAAACATATTTTACATAGGACATTTAAAATTAAATTTAATTAAAATATTAATCTGTTTATTAGTCTGATAGTAAAAGTATAATAAATAAGCCCACAAAGTAAATATACAACTAGACAAACATCCAGAACTGCAATTGAAATACAGGGTGATTATAATTAAAGTTTAAGTTTCAAAACTCTATAAAAAAAAGAACCACTGATGAAAATAATGACGTCAAATTTGAAAGGAATATTATTGAAGAAGGCGGGAAAGCGTATGGCAGAAGAAAAAAATTGTAGTTTCAAAAGTTAGCAACAGATGGCGCTGTAAGCGGAAGAAGATGTAAATTAAAATGTCAGTTAAATTTCAGTGTTATAAAAGCCGCCAGGTACCAGGCTATTCCTCATTTCGCATCTCGGACATTCGCCATGGTGTGTTTTCACTGTAGGACCGTGCTCTACTAATAAAGCTGTATTACAAGAAGTGATGATGATGCAAGAGTAGCTATGCAAAAATTCAGGACACTGAAGGGTATAAAAGAAGGTGTTGGTCCAATGAGTGTTGTGAGGTCTAAAGAAAATGATGCAAAAATTTAAAATGACAGGTTTGTTTGATGTGCAATCTGGTAGAGGGAGAAAATGAGTGCATTCAACGGTAGTTGAAGAAGTAGCCAGAGCATTACAGGAGGGCTCGGCCGGCAGTGTGCAAGCGTGCAGTGCACGAGGAAGTGCCCGAACATTGGACAGGCCTACGAGCACGGTGCTGCAAATTGTATGGAAACATCCTGCAATGCTATCCGTACAAAATTTGCCATGTGCAGGAAGTTGCTTCCGTCTGACCTGGACAGCTAAGGGAGACGTTTGCGTTATTATTCCTGGAATTCGCATGGAAGTGGATAATGAATGGCCGTGGAAAATTTTGTGGACAGATAAAGTCCATTTCCATCTGACAGGGCATACGTCAACACCCAGAATTGTTGAATATGGGCAATAGAAAAATCCACTGGCAACCGCACCCCGTACCACTTCATCCTGAAAAGGTCATGGTGTGGTGCGGCTTTACGGACATCATTCGTCCTACAAGCCATATTTTTTCGAGCAGACGGGTGCTTCCGAGTCCTGTTACCGCAACCGTCACTTGGTCAGAGTATGCGTCTCTTTTGCGCAGCCATCGTGATTCCAGCTCTGCAACAGCGTGGATGTGTCGATGAAATAATTTTTATGCACGATGGCATTCCTCCGTACATTGCACATCCCATGAAGCAGCTGCTGTGGTGCCATTTCGGAAATGCTCGAATTATCAGCTGTCATTTCCCTACAGCCTGGCCGTCCCGATCGCCTGATCTTACTCCGTGTGATTTCTGGCTGTGGGGATATCTGAAGGATGTTGTGTTCCGTGCTCCAATTGCAAATTTAGCGGAATTAAAGGCACACATTTCGCAAGACATTCTGAACATTACCCCAGAGACACTGCGATCCGTTGTGGAACATGCTGTTTGCCGCTTTCAACTTGTTGCACACAACGGTGGACACCATATTGAACATGTTTTGCGCCAGTCTCGCGACAGTTTCGAACTTCTTTGATGAATGGTTCTTATGCGGTAAGTCGCCGCAAAACTCTTGAAACCAATTTGTCCCTTTCGATGTGAAATGTACAGTCATGCAAATAAAATTATTCAACAATTCTAATTTGTCAATGCGTTTTAATGTGTAACTTTCACCTCAGCCGTTGTTTTATGAATCATTTCTCGTTTCTAGTCGTGATTATGCCGCTTACAGCGCCATCTGTTGCTAACTTTTGAAACTAAATTTTTTCTTCTGCGATACACTTTCCGCCTTCTTCAATAACATTCCTTTCAAATTTCACATCATTTTCATCAGTGGTTCTTTTTTTTATAGCGTTTTGAAACTTAAACTTTAATTATAATCACCCTGTATTTACCATATTGAAAATAGCAGGTTTAAATTTGGATAACCTTACTAAGGCCTTTCGCACATTTTTCAGGCGATTTTCACTGTATTTACAGAAATATTTTACCTAGTATTTTTGCATTTTAAATGTTTCATTTGATAACTCTTATTCTTCACTATTTTTATATACTGTAATTTCCAAGACAGCTTTTTTAGTAGCAGAAAATATATTTTATCCCTTTCCTCTTAAACAGCATTCCAAAGTCCAAGATGGGTTGTAAGTCAATGTCTGTCCGCTTTTATCCCTCAGGAGATTTAGTAGGGATATGAGTGACTTTAGTAAACATTTTTTGTTCCATTTTTCTAGGAAATAACAGTGGATTTTGATGTATGGCTATTTGTCTTGATGCAGTTCTACTGATTGATGGCACTGAACGATAAAGAGAAGGTATTTCACATTTGAAAACTAAGAATAAAATATGTTCATATATAATCCTCATAATATAATATGAGTTGATCTTAATAGTTTCCTTCACTCTCTTTAATTTTTATTTGTCATTATATCAAAAACCAGCAATAGTCATAAATCCCTTTGAAAAACCTTCTTTAGATTCTTTGAACCATATTCTAAGATTTTTTTTCTTCTCTTTTATGACAATAAACGGATCTCTTTTCACTGCGATCATTTAAATATACCCAATTTAAATATATCTACTGTGACAACATTTGTCCATTTTACCTAAATAATTGTTTCTCAGAGAGAATTCTGCTTACAGTGATATATTATGGAGAAAGACAATGTACAAGATGTTTTTTTCACCTTTTTAAGATTCAAATCAGCATTAATTACTTTGTTTACAGTTGACAGCAAACATTTTAATGATTATGCAACTGTCTTTTGACTCCAAAGATTTTCTTTTAACATTTTAAAGTTCTTACCTTTGCAATATTCGAAACATTCTGTTTTTTTCCTTGGATATGTATTTTAAACAATTTTTCTCCTTGAAGCCAAACTTTGGCATTTGTTTCCTTTCTTATTGGCAATATTATCTATCATTGCCTTAGATATCGAAAAACCATGGCTTTCACATCATTTGTTAATAACTAAATACAAATAAGTTTCTTCGGTAAGAGCACCAACATAGCCTTCTGTTCGTTGCTTCTTTAAAAGGGCCATTTTGCATGAAAACAAATAGTCAAATAGCAGACGATAATTTACACTTTTAAAAATACAGCTGAGGTTAATTTTTTTTTCCAAGCAGGAGAATTTTTTAATAGCAAAGTTATCTAAAAATGTGTAAACAGCCTCTGTAATCTTAAAAGCGCTCCATGATATATGCAATGTATTTCCAAATTAGGTGCTCTGCTCCCTAGGATATGGTATATGAGAGGAGAGCAAAAAGTTGTTATTTAGACCTGGAATGGTGGTTATTCACTTTTGTTACACTCATATGGCTTAAGATATATATCATCAAACACTACAACAAACATATTAGCATGATCTCGATTTTGACTTCATAAAAATTTTGACATTAGTAATTTGATCAGACTATGCTTACCTTTCAAATTTTTATATTTCCTCAGTTAATGTTAACTTTCAATATAACACTTTAGTATGGAATTATTTTAAGAGAATAATGTGTAAGATTAAAATGAAATAATAAGAATCAATTGGGAAAAAATGTACAATTTCAGAAGAAATCTTACCAGTCAATTTTTCTACAAAATTTGAAGGAACCAATCCTTTACGTCCATCAAGAAGTTCGCCAGTGAAAAATCCATCCTTCACAAAGATATTCTTTATTTAAATCATAACACAAAAAATCAGTACAACAAAAATATTATAAAATCATTAAAATTTTAATGATTACATTAAAATTGATTATGTTTATGAATGCATCCTCAAACAGCATAACTCTTATTATGCCTTCCAATGGATAATAGCTTAAACTACAGTTCATAATATCCTTTTCAATAAAACATTTGTACAGAAATTAGAGGAATGAGGACAGAAAGAATAGCAAGTTATTTAAAATTTAATTTTTCACTTTTAAACCTTTAACATAAAGGAGATTTTTAGCACTCATTCATGATGCTACTACTCCACAGAAATGATAGGGTAAAAAAGTGAATTTTAATCTTCCGATAAGAAAGTTTAATAGTTTCGAAAAAAATCCTCACGAGTTCATAGATAAAGCTAGTTACAAATTAATATTCCAAATTCTACCTTTATGGCTTGGAAACATGAAGTGTTAGAAGAATTGAAGCAAAGAATTCAAAGGATTGAATTTAACAGCAATTTACCATGGAATTTTCTGAATCCTCTATTGCTAAATTTGAAACAAAAATTCATAATAACCAAAATTGACAAAGCCAGTAATAATTTCAGCATTATTTGAAAATTTTTTTATGTCTTTATAATTAATGCTGAACTGAATAATGCCATTACTTACAAACTTACCAATACACAAGAAAATGTCGTTGTAAAAACGCTAAAAGCAATTCATAAGAAACTACAAATTTCACAACCATCTAACTACAATAGATTAGCAAATCTATATGCTCTTCCTAAATTCCATAAATCACCACTCAAATTTAGATTTATAGCAATTGGTACAAATAATTATAAAAAGAATATAGATTACACATTTGCAATTAAACTTAAAAAAATCTGTTTTTTAATTCATCAACTAGTTAACAAGCAACACAACTTCAGTTGGATTATTTATAATAATGCTCCAGTTCTCAACAAATTTAAAAGTTTAGAAATCAAGAACATTAACTACTAAAACCTTTGAAAACCTTTATACTTCTCTACCATTAGAAGAAATTTTACTAGTTTAATGCAACCCCCACAACTTTTTCCTGACATGCTTTACATTCTTTGAATTGAAAGATAGAAAACTTACCTGAATTGTGCATTATTTAATAACTACATTAAATTCAATAATAAGATCTTTCAGCAGGTGAGAGAAATACCAATGGGAGCTAACAGTTCTACACAAATATGTAACCTATTCCTTTTTGCTCATGAATATAAATTCCAAATAAGTTTGAATAAGAATGAATTAAAGTTATTTGCAAATGCATTTAGATACATTGATGATATAACTTTCAATAATAATTTTGATTTTGAACAATTCAAAATTTACCCATATAGTTTAAAACTTAACAAAACTAATACGAATCAAGATACTATTGAATACTAAACACTTTTTATAGCCAAATAATCAGAATAAAAAATATATGTAATGAAATAGAAGATTTAAAGGAAGAAATAATAAAGCTTCTTAATGTTGAAGTTAATAACCAAGTCCCAGCACAATTTATTAATTTATATATTAAAAAGGCAGGCATTAACTTTTCTTTTATAATATTTTGACTTTTTATGGTATGATAACATTACCTTAAACCTTAACTATAGGGTAATGGAGGATATTGAACAGTTAAGGGATTGTGTAAATATTTGTAAAAATGTATATAATTAATACTGGATTCTTTCCTTTTACTTATGAAGGGCAAACTCTTTTCAAAAGTCTCAATGATAGCCCGAATTGAGTGAAGATTTTTATCTTTTTCTAATTTTCCCTTACTCTTTGGCCAGTATTTAGTAAGTTTTAATTAAACATGTTGAAATTCAGTTTTAATAAATTAATCCTTTAATTTAAAACCTTTTACAAAAATTCAAAATTAAAATTAATTTACAGTCTTTAATAATTTGCAACCATTTTTTCACATCAAGTTACAGTTAGCATTTTTACAATACTTCACAGTTAGCAAAAACCTTTTTGCAATAGCACACACATTTTACATTACTAAACGTTTACAGAATAGGTTTTTTAAAATAGATCTAACAGATAGCAGCTTAACACTCAGCTTGCCTTATATTAGCACCCTCTGTTTATAAAGTTAGAAGAAACACACTACTTAACATTACTTAGTTTGGCATGCTGCTCCGCTCTCCAAATACAAATATAGTTGGTGATGAAATTAAAACTTACTTTTTACTTGCCTATTTAGTATTATTTATGTATTTTTTATAAATAGTATCTAGTTTCTTTTTGATTTATTTGCATAATTCGTGTTGGGGAAGTTTTTTTGCAGGCAAGAGTTTCTAAATTACTTTGGTTTTCTACTCTTAATTGACCTTTTTAAATTTTAATTAGTCATTTACCTGATAATTTCTCAAAATTCCACTTGTTTAAATTTCTTTTTTAGTAATTCACAACATTTAGTTTTATATTTGGTTTTGAATTTTCCTTTTACACTTGCCTACATGGATGATGAAACACAAATTGAATAATTGAAGAGTTAGGTTTGGAGGCAACTTCCCCTTGATAAGTCTATCTCATGCCTGCTCAACAATTATTCACTTATGCATTTTTATAAATTTTTAGGATTAAAAAATTTATTGGAATTATATATTATACATTTATTTTATATTCATAGATTTTGATACTTGGACTTGATTTACATATGCTTTCAGAATTTAAATGATATTGATATTAGTTTGCAGCAATAATTAATAATTTATTTGTAATTCAATTTCATTTAAAATTTAATTAACTTTAAATTTGCTTTTTACGAATAGAGAGTGCTTGTTAAATTCAAATTTTCATTACTTGCAGCAATGGCACAAGAGAATTATTTAAATTTAATTTAACTTTACTATATTCTTTTGATAAAATTAATAATTAATTGTTTTTCAACATAAAGCGGTTCACGCGGTAAGGAAGAAATCATATGAAATAAATATAAGGGATAAAATAAACTATAATGATTTAATATATGTTAAAATTATGTCATTAATTAAAATCGAACAATTGTGCAGATAGAATACATAATTTAGTTTCTGAAAATTCACTTATATTTGCAAAATTAAAAAAATAATGGTACAGAAATAATTAGCATAAATCTAACATATCATTTTTTCAAAACTTTTGTTCATATTATGAATCTGATTGTTAACTTTAAATTATTCATGTGCAATTACGTCTGACTGTGTATTTATAGAGAAAAATGTAAGGGGGCCGATGAAGAAAACCTTTCCTTTAAAAGGAGTCATTGCAAGAAAAAGGACAAAAATCCTTGAGTAGACTGATGAACTATAAATCTATAAAAATGAGGAATGTACATAAACACATATATCCCATATTAATCATAATTTTTTGTGATTAACATGGGATATAAGTTTAATTTTAACATAATTATTAATCATAACTTTTTTTAAAATACAAATTATGTTAAATGGGTGACAATTAATAAAACTTTGTAGTTTAAGTTACAAATTGTTCATATTAAGTTATGTAAAAATATGTTTAAATTTGTATCAATTCTATTCATATTCTAGGAGGATTACAATTTTATATTCCCTGATTTAGTTAGTCAATAGATACACTTTATACAAAATATAGTTCAAGTGTCAAAGGAATGAGTTAAACTATATATTAAGTTTATAAACAGTATTGCACTATATTGTTATATTTGTTATATATATGTTATAGTAATCCTGCAAATTTGTTTTCAAGATGTTATCTTCTCCAACAACTCTTAAAATCTTGATGGTAGAAGAGTCCACAATGGTTGCACAACATTTCTCAGAATCAGCCTTGTGATATTCCTATTTCTGAATTAAAGGAAGTCAAAAAGGGAACATGAAAGACTAATCTTTGCGGGAACAATGAAACAAAAATAATACAGATTTATTTGGCTAAGAAATTTTCAAGTTATCTTAAAATTGTAAGAATAATTGCATGGATGCTCTGTTTAAAAGGGAAAATTTCAGGTAATTCAGGACCTCCTTATATTACTGCAGAAGAATCTTTTAGAGCCGTGGAAATAATTTTACATTGCATTCAATCTGAAAATTTTTTGGAGAGGATAACAAGAACAGTTTCGAGATTCTTCAGGTCTATAAAGGATGATCAAAGAATTCTTCAAATGAAGTAAATGAAAATAATATCACAGAATATATGTATTAGTCATTATTTCTCCTGAACATACTTTAGTGAAAAGAATGATAGAATATAAGCACTTGTTTCATATGCATGCTAGAACTCTCTCACTTCTTACCATTCTTTGAGAGAAAGTCTGGGTTTCAAGGTGAAGAAAAGCTATAGGTTCCATTGTACAAAAATACATTTTTTTTATATAATAAAACAGTCTAAAGCTCTTCAAGTTCCTATCCACCTCTTCCACAATAGCAAACACAGATGACTTCCTACTTTCCAAGTAACTGGAGTTCATTAGCTAGGCTACCTTTTATCAGTTCACAAAAGAAATGCTGGATTCTTATTTTTATCTGTGCAGTATGCAGAATTTTCCCCTTGAAATGATTCAATTTATGAGTAGTATTGCCTTTACCCAAGACCTAAGATGATTTATAGCTCAAAGAAGTAGGACATCAATTAAGTTTTGAATCATGGTACTAATTTTATAATTTTATTGGAGAAAATTCAGTTTTGAAACAATTAAATTAGAATGAAATTCAATGAGACTATAATTTGCAGGATAATCAGTGAAAGTTCAGTCCTTTGCTTGCTCCAAAAATTCTGGGTCAAACATCATTGAATTATGAGCAGGTGCATATATTGCTATGTGAATGTGAATCTAACATGAATAACCATCTACTGACATATCTGAAGAATTCGATGACTTGCATGTATAGAAACAGTCAATATTTTTACAAGGTCTTCTGGGCGATGAGATAGCCACCCTAGATCATGCTGAAGCAGTTACTTTAGTAAAATGATGAAATCATCTCCAAACTATAAGAGAGAAACTGAGAATGCAGTTTAAAGGGAAATATCTTGGACTGTTTAGATCACCTAAACCCAAAGATTCTGATATAGTTAAAATAGAAGATATTGTTAGAATTGGAAATGATAATAAAAGGTGATTTGATTGGTCCCTAGCAAAAGTTTTTAAAACATTTTTAGGACGAGACTTTGTTAATCTATTTGTAAAAGTAAAAAAAGCTAATGGATATCAATTAAGAGCTATATAGAGATTGTATCTGTCAGAAATTAACAGCAAGACTGAGTGCTCTATCAAAGAAAGGGAACCTGTAATCCAGCAGTCTCAGCATTTTGAAAGGATTAAAGTTAAATTGGAGAGATCCCATACAAATATATTTTGGGAAATACAACTGAAAGAAAGACCTGATCTTGAAAAACTTTTAAACATTTTGAAACTTTTTTAGACATTTGATTTAGTTTAGTGTTTGTAAAGTTCTCATTTTATAAAGGTGGGAAGATGTTATAAATGCTATTTATGAGCCTTCAATGATAAAAATAGGAATCTGGCCACAGAAACTGTATTAACTGATTTGCAATTATGTTTTAGCTTTGTATGTTCAAAGTGCTGTCAGCCATTTTTAGAACTTGCATTTCATATGTTAAACCTCTTTATTAGTTGTAAATAAATGTTTACCTTTTTATTTTGTGCAACTCAAGGCTTAATTTTACATATGCTATACAATTGTTACAAATTTTAATTCTGTTCGAAGTGACCGCCATTAAGTACAAATAAATATAATCTTCATTTATTTATTTATTTTGTTAAAATTAACTATTCATGAAGCATTTCCCTACTTTAACAATGCATCAGTGGACAAATTAGAAATATATATAAACAAATTGCAACTATTATTTACTAACCTCATCCATCTCTCCAAATATTAAGACATAATCACCAGCAAGTAATCGTAACTCTGCCTCTGGATTTTCATTTGGCGATTGTTTCAAAGGGTCATAACTATAACGTGCAATATAAACCTTGCATTGACCTCGATGTGGTAAATCTATGTAATCAATTTCCTCGTACATATCTTCCGATTTGGCCGTCCTTACAGGCGTTGAGGCATATGGAGCCCCACTTGGTAAAGCTGGAAGAGTGGAGCTATAATTCCCTGATTGTTGTACATTTCCAGTAAGTGCTCCAGATAAGGATGAGGTTCCAGTTAGAGGTGTGCTACTTCTACTGCCAGGTGGTGTTACAGAGAATGATCTTCTACTACCTATAAAAGTATTGAACATTAAATGGAGAACAATTAGTATCTGTGATACAGATAGAGCACAGTTAAAATAGAAATTACATAGCAAGTGTTTCACTGTAAAGATTTCATGAGAGACAGCACAGGTTATATAATCCCACAAAGAAGTTTGATGTCATCAGGAATTGGAAAAATGCACATGCTCACATCGTGTTAAAAAATGGAGAAAGAAAAAGTGCATAACTAATCATAATGCTTTCAAAATCAAGAACATTTCAAAAAAAGAGGGGAAGAATCGTATCTTTTTTTTCCATGTGTAAAATATATTCAGTTACTGAGAATGCATTATGAATTATTTGATTATTAGTTTCATTATTTTTAGATAATACAATTCATTAGTTAATTTGATTTTGTTCTATTTTTTTAATCTATTTCTTGAGGAGAATATAAATTCATATGAGGGGACAGAATATTCATTAAGTATACTTGAGTACTTGAGGGAGATAGATACACATGTTACTTTGTCTTGTTTTAGTGAAAACACAGATCATGAATTTTGTTTTGATTTCTTCTGCATTTTAAAAAATCACTGTAAAAAAAAAAAAAAAAAAAACCTGTAGAATGCTTGTATTGTTTAGTTGGCTTCACAAACAGTTTTCAGGACACTTTATAAGATTTCAGAACACTTTTATAACCAATATTAAAAAAATAATAATTAATAGAATGTGTGTTGATATAGATTGTTATAACATTTCTGAAAATCTAACATAATTTTCAATAATTAGCAAACTATTATTATCTCATACATGCTACTTCTATTTTCCATATTCTTTGATTAAAAAAATAAGTTTTTCAAATTATACATGCATACAATAAAAAGAACATAATTTACTTTAAGAGCCCAATGTTCGTATTCCAAAACTATTAATAAATACCTCCTGAAGTAATATAAAATGTTATCATCATTAATTATTAAGAGAGCATTAGGTAAAATCAGTCAAAAATCACTTTAACATACTTATAGTTGCTCTTTTTCTGTCTAATTCTGCTAATATTCTATTGTCTTGCTCTAATTTTGCCATAAGTACGTCAAGGTCTTTCATGGTTACAGATGTTTCTGAAAGGATTACAAATAAGTTTAACACTTCAGTCAATATAGTATTATCCCATACATATGTAATTAAAAGAATTATCAGTAAGATATTTCATTATTACACAATTTGTATGACTGCTTATTCCAATGTGTTGGTATACAGCCATGAACAGACAATCTCATAAATAATCAATGACAGGGTATGGCATCTGAACTGTTATTGGCAATTACCCCCTCAAATTACCTTTGTTCAATTACCTCAGTTACTCAAGGTTTTACCTTGGGTAACTGAGGTAACTGAAGAAATTCAGTGCAAATTTTTAAGAAACTAATAATCAAAAAATGACAAAAGTCTTTGTACACTTAAAAAAAAAAAAAAATCTTGAGATATTAGTAAATATTTTGATTTTTCATTAAATTAATATTAGTAGGATATCTTTTAGCATCCATAACAGCTTATAAACGTCTGGAAATAGATTTCAGTTTTTTTTTTTTTAAAATTTCTGTATCAATGTTCATCTATTCTTCCATCATGGCCGTTTTGAGTTCGCTTTTCATTTTGATATCGTGTTTTCGTACTCCAATCTCCAGCTCTTTCCAAATATGTTCTATGGGGTTTAAATCTACTGACTGAGGTGGTGTTTTCAAAACCTGTGGACAATTATAGAGACACTACAAGTGAATGCTGAGAGCCGTATACTTAGGATCGTTATCACGATTAAAAATAAAGTTGTTTCCAATACCCAAATTTTGGGTTGATAATTTTAAATTGTCTCTTAAAATATTTAAATAAAGAGAATGATTCATTATGCCATCAATAAATATCAAACTACCTAGTCCAGATGCTGTCATGCCCCCCCACACACACAAGAACACCTCCACCGCCATGCTTAACTGTTTCAACTAAGTTCTTAGAATGAAGTTCCGAATTTTTTCTTCTCCATACACTTATTTGACCATCGGAACCAAAAATGTTAAATTTGCTATCTTATTAATTTTCTTTTTTATAATATTTATTTACCTGCGAAATATGTTAATAGTGTTTCTTTCTTCCTATATAAGACAAAATATTTATTTTTAATGGCCCCTAAATTTTCTTTAAAAAAAAAAAAAAAAAAAAAAAAAGAGGTCACTTTTCTACTTTAAAAATACTAAATGTTATAATAAATCTTTCTGAAGTGAAACCTTTGAAAATGAATCCAAATTAATCCTTTTGTTAATTTTACTCAGGTGACACATGGCAAAAGTAGAACTTTTGTCATATGTTAACAGCAGGTTTTGTTGCCTTTAGTGAAATATCAAATATAGCTTTCTGTACACATTTAGGATATTGTTGCTCACATGAAGGAATCATGCATCAGTTTTGTCCTTTTCATTTTAGGGTTTGGGTTCCAATACTATGCATGATGTTCTGTTTTTTTTTTCGGGGGGGCGTATGCAAACAGAGGTCACTTATTATAAGAAGATCAGTGCTGATAAGATCGCTGAGCATATAAAGAAATTATAAAGGTATTTCTCAAAAAAGATACGAGTTTTATTAATAGTTATTCTTGCTTTTTTAATTTTATTCATTGCTTTTTTATGGAATTCTTAGTGCACCACATCTTTGGAAATGGCTTTTGTGCATAAGCTTACTGAAAAATCACAGCCTATAAGGAGTTGAGTGGTAAAGTCATTGAACACTGATAGTTCAGTACGGGGTTCAAATCCCTGAAAATGAGTGGCTGCATGCCCATTTTTGTAGTTTTCCCCATGTGTAATATGTATATAAGCCTGCTTCCTTTAGAGTCTTCCATGAAGATATCCCTTCTCTTAAGCAGATCGCCATCAAGTCCTTTGCCATACTTAAATAAATCACGAACAAATCAGCCACAAGTGAGCTCCTGAATGCTCTTAAAAGTTGCCAATAAATTCATGAATTTTTGGTGGAGTGCAGATAATCAGTATCAAAATGTTTAAGAAATATTCCTATAATCATATTATAGATGTATGAGGCTATTTTGAAATTTGAAAAGCTTATAATTTAGATATGAACAATGAACTCATCAAAAAAATTTCAGATTGCTTATAGTAGCTGTCTCAAATTGGCAGTCCCCAAAGAAATTTTACATGGGCCATGAATATATTTCAATAAGGTGTTTTTATAAGTATAGTGCTTATTTAGAGACATAGAGATATCGACTGAACTTATTTGACTGTCACTTATGGAAAAAGAAACAGTTTGAAAAGGATGAGATTTTGACACTATCAGGGCTATTATAATGAAAAGGTCCATGGGCTCTTCCCTGGAATCCCACAAGCATAAAAGCCCTATACTAATCCCTTTCAATTTCACTTTTGTGAATGACTGTCATAAGAGCCCTAGCTCTCTGGTTATTTCTGGGGCCCTTAATGCTGTTAACATGGCACTGGTCACTACATGTCTGTATGCCAGGCCACATAATTAGGGTTATACAGGAGAACATTCCACATTGGTACAATTGGTAAATTTAGCTTGCCAGCCAAAAGTTAGTGGCATTTCAGCATTCTGGTGTTTCCACTTTTTTTTCTTTTGTTTTTGTTTGTTGAGTGAGACTTCTGATATATATTTTCTTTCAATCATTACTAATTGGTTAGCTGGAGGCACAGCTGTGAAGTTCATATCGCTATAGAGATGGAGACAAAGTAATATACAGCTTTGTACTCATTTGCTCATTTGTACTCATTCTTAACTCCAAAAACTCCCATGGTTTTGCTTCACACTTTTTAAAATTTTTGTTTACCAGTTAGACAGACTGCAAGTTCTGGCTGATATATATTCTGTACATTTTATATCATTCTTTATTAATTATATGTATATAATTACATATAAATAGCCATTACATTATGACCACCCTTCATCTATAACAATGGGCTCATCCAGCAACAAAACCACTGCACGTGCGTGGCTGATGTTGGACTATATAAAGCGGCTATGCAATGTCTAAACACAGCATGATTAGCAACATAATGAAAAAAAAGCGTCTGATTTATCAGACCTTGATAAAGGTCAAATCATTATGGCTCGGCGACTGAGAACATCAATATCAGAAATGGTGCATTTAGTGAGCTGTTCATGTGCAGTTTGTGAGCAAATATCGAAAATAATGTATGGAGGGTGAAATGACAAGTCGCCGGCCGGCAATGTGTCATTGACAGCACATTGATTCTAGAGGAGAGCAGAGATTGCTACGCACTGTTTGCCCTGACCGAAGAGCTTTAATGGCCGAGATCACCACCAGCTACAACAGTGGCGAACCAAACAGTGTTTCTCAACACACTGTGCAGCATACATTGCTGCATATGGGCCTACACAGCCGGAGGCCGAAGCATGTTCCTGCATCAACAATGGGCCAAGAAACATCAGAATTAGACATTAGAAGAATGGAAGAAAGTTGCATGGCCCGACAAATTACATTTTCTGGTACATCACATTTCTGGTCATAATGTCCCAAACGAAAGCCTTGCTCGGATACACAGTTGGATGGAGACAAGCCGGTGGCATTATGGTGTGGGCAATGTTTTCATGGAGCACATTAGGACCGAAAATCCCTGGCATTAAGGGCGTTCCTAGTGAGGGTGGAGTGCTTAAAAGTATGCAGGCAGCCAAAATCAGGGGTGGTCAGACTCTCACGATACCCTGCCTAAACATTTTAAATTCAGTGTAAGAACCTGTCATATATAAGAACCTTTTATACAATTTGTCATTTGCAAGTACTTAATGAGCATGAAATAAAAAATTATTAATCATTGAGCATTTCTTTTTAAATCTGGTTGCAACAATTTTAGGAAAATACATGGACAGCCAATGGCCTTAGGCTCTGCTTGATGTCTGTGCGCTACGTGGACATTAATTCCCTAATTCTTGCAGTTTGCCATTGTGCTTGATTTTTGGTTTTTGTATATGATTTATTCCGAACTGAACGTTGGATGAATTTTTAATGGATTTTTATTTTCTTTTATTGTACGTATATATATATATATATATAATATATATTATTAATATATATACATATTCACTCGCATTTTGATGACAAAATTCTGGCCCATTAGCCGCTCTTAGATCATTTGGCCCACATGCAATTTGAATTTGACACCGCTGGTTTATGGAGTAAGATTTTCCAAAATATTTTCTATTGGTTTCGAAACAAATGTTAACCAGTTTCAGTAGGATATAAATTGACTACCTTTGTGTAATGAGTATCTCCCTGTATTTCAGGGAGACATACATTACACAAAAGTTTCAAGGGCTTTTCCCAAATAATTTCCATATGCTAACTCCTTAAAGAAAATTAATTATCTTATTATTCACCCTGAATTATGTTAAACACTGGTAATAAACTTATTAAAATCATCTATTATTTTGAACTACAAAAATTACAAAAATAAAGCATTCACATTCTTTGGAATGGCAATTTTTTATTTTATTACCTTGTAAAAAATTCAGATTGCTCTGAAACATTATCAATAACTTCAAATATTATTAAAAATTTTCCATTACAAAATTAACAATATTGCATACTTATTTACTACTTTTGAACTCATGGATAATTCTTTCAGTATAAAGTAAAGATAATAATACAGAGTTTTAATAAGAATTAAAAAAATTTGCCATATTTCTTTGACATAATAAAAATATTCTGAAAGTTTTATGCAATGCAACAAGAAATAATTTTGACATTTCCATTAAATTCATTAAAGTGTAAGAAAAGGTACTCAGCTGTACATGGCATTTCATAAATCAATATTTATATAATTATCGAATAATGTATGTTGGGGGAAAAACAGCTTACAAGAAAAAATATCTATTATAATAAATATCACCAGTGTATTCACATCATGAGATTTCAGAATTTTATGCATTTTTCATACAGCTAAAACGGCAAAATGAAAAAAATACATACGGCAAAATGAAAAAAGATTTTTTTTCATTAAATATACAAGGTGTGTTCGAAAAGTTCGGTGATTGGTCTCATAATTAAAAAACCATGCCGGTTAGGATCTTG